GCCTCTCGAGCTCAAGTGGTCCTCCCACCTCAGCCTCCCCAGTATAGGCACAAACCCCCATGTCCAACTAATTTTTATATATTTTGTAGAAATGTGGTTTTGCCATGTTGCCCAGGCTGGTCTCGAACTCCTGGGCTCAAGCGATCTGCCTCCCAAGGTGCTGGGATTAGAGGTGTGAGCCACCAAGCCCAGCTCCCACTTCATCTTAATGGTTTGAGATTGAGGCAAACTTGAGTTCAAATTCCCATCTGGCAGTTCTGTCTTTTAAATTCACTTAATAAGGATTTCCTCCCACTGGGCAAGGTGCTAGGACTACAAGTAGCTACTGCCTAAGGAAGCTCTCAGCCTCACAAAGGAGATAAGTACGGAGAATGTCAGAATTTCTTGTGAAAGTGCTGTAAGAAAAGGAAACTAGAACAGCAGGCTTTCTGGAGGACCTAACTCCTGAGTAAGGTACTAAAGGACATTCCCCAGCATATGACATATAGAAAGAGGAAGGGTGTGTGTGTGTGTGTGTGTGTGTGTGTGTGTGTGTGTGTGTGTTGCTGGAGCAGGGTCAGGAGACAGGGAGTAGCAGAAAGATGACTGTGCATGGTGGACATGTTGAGTGGGAGGCACTCCTGGGACATGCAAGCAGAGATGCCGACACACGCATTACACAGGTAGATCTATGGTGCTGCGATAAGGAGAAAGATGTTGGAGTGGAAGCAGTCAGTACAGAGATGGCAGCTGAAACCCCAAGAACACTACCCCACACACCACCCTGTCAATGATACCATGACACTGCTATGGTAATGACAACCCACAAAGAACAGAGCTCTACCAAACTGATGATGTGTTTGACAGAGCTACATGCCAGGCTGAAAAGATCCTTTTCTTAGTTTCCTAAAATGCTAGCTATTCAATGAACAAAACCTAACTTAACCAAAAAGTGAGCTAGCTACATACTCTGGAAAATTTGAGAATATATACTGCATATTTTGAAGTAATTTAGAACAAACTGGGATTATCCAATGAAAAATGGGATATTCTGCAATTCAGCAATTGAGGAAGCCTGGACAGGGGAGGAACTGGTTTTGGTCGAGATGCTTAGGATATGCTTCTCATAGGAAGACGGCTTTTAAAGAGCCCCAAGGGATGAATGGACCTTCAGCAGGAGGGGAGAAAACACTATCATAGGCCCAGAGCCCATAAGAACACTACACCAGACTGTGTAGACAGCTTTCTCTTGATGTCCAATAAAGCTAGTACACCGAAATGAGAATACTATAATGAGTTCTCAGGAAGGAGCTTGGGTGGACAGATGCCTGTTTGTGATGTCCAAGGTAATAATCTGACAAATTATATAGAGTAAAATGTGCATATTAGCTTGCAATATCCATGGATTTTCAAAAATACCAAGCTTCTTGCATACTGAAATAACTGCATTATTTTTGAGTATTTGATTATTTTAGGTTCTTGCCTCCCTATCATAAAATCCAAGTATGTGGTCAGAATAACCTAAGAGTATTTCAAACACTAGCCCTTAATAATCATTCTTTGAATCTTCAAATATTCACATAAGAAAAATAACCTTCCCAAAGATAGGTTCTAATTAAAGTCCTGGAGGCTAGGTTTTCTTTAATTTTTTCTTTGCTTCTCTATTTCCTAGGCCAAGAAAAGGATAGCACTAACCCTGTAACCTTCTCAAGAGTATTCCGTTGCTCAAGAACAAACACTCTCCAGAATAATCTAAAATCAACAGGAAATAATACAAAAACTGTGTGTTGGGGAGGTGTTGAATTTCCAAGCTCTTACAGTCTTTGATAAATAATGATAGAATAAATCATGGAAAAAATAATCTGTGGCTGCTCAACTAGATAGTTCTGCTAATGACCATAAAGAGAACCCAACCTCTAAAACTTACCTCTGTACTTCCTCTTTACATTGAGTTAGGCTGAGGCAATAGCTTAAATCATCCAAGTTAACAAAAGTCAGCAGAGAAGTGATTCAAAGGTAAATGCATTGATTCACTCATTCACTCATTCAGCACTCACTTGGCACTTACTACGTCCCAAGCTCTGTCTAGGTGATGGAGTACATGGGGAAGAAGCCATGCCCCTGCCTTCATGGAGCTGTCACTCTAAACTCAGCTCAAATTTACAGCAATGTCAAATTACACTAAGGACTTCAACTTGTAAGTTTTCCTTCCCGAGGTCAGATTGAGACTCTTGCATAAAACTTAGTTAGTGTGCTGCTTCTGCTCAGAATTCACAATGAATAAACTGTTACCCTTCCTTTAAGAACTACTTAGAGAAAAAAAAAAAAAAAAGACACTCCTTCTAAATAATATGATGAATTCAGAATCCCGTAACTTGGTCATGAGAAATCTCTGATTTTATTTAGTCTAATCTCCTATCAGTGATATTCCTTATAGAGTATACATGAGATATAATCACCTATTAAAACAAGAATCCCAAAAGCATTATACATTAACATTTATTGAATCCATTTACTAACTCCTCTTCATTAATAAATTCCGTAGGTGATAACAATTACGTGTTCATATGCCCAGAACTTAACAGCTGCATGAGGAGCAATTTTGATGACGTTTGGAACATTTCCTCTCCAAAGAGAGTAGATACCTCCTTCTTTTACCATCTGCCAAAAGCCACCAAATATGTTCATTTTGTCTGATTTTGAACCATGAACCTAAAAAATAAAAGCAGAATGATATAAAATGCTGGTGGCATATTATTATTACTTTTTCTAAAGTAACCACACAAACTTTTTCAATACTAACTGCAAGTATATTTGAAATTAAAATATAGAAAGGTTGAAAAAATATATATAATGATGGGAGGGAGTATTGCCATGATTTTAGAGGTCTGTCTCAACTCTAAAACTAAGAATAATTGGTATCTTCAGTGTGAGCAATCAGAGAAGACAAGAAGAAAATTAAAATTATGAACAACATTCATAAGATAACATTAACTAAATTGTATCATTGATATGTATCATTGTCTGATGCATGTCAGACAATGGAACACCTTTGAAATATGAAAAAGTCCAGTTAAAGAGAAATAAAATGTATACTGCAGGTAATAATATATTATTACATTATATTATATATACTGCAGGTAATACTGTTTATATTCTTGAGGAGAGGGACTAACATATTAAGAAGAAATAGTACGGACATGAACTGTAAATGAGTCTGAAATAGTTTGGATATTATGTATATCAGGGCTAAAAACACTGGAATACATACAGCCTGAAACCAAAAATAAAAATTTCACCTTCTTTGGCATATTTTGAGGCATCTCTAGGCAATAAATTCATTACAACATGTACCAATCGTGTGAGTACTGATACAATACTTGACTTATACTACAGATGTGGTAGTCATTTAAAAATACTGTGCCTTATGACCACCTACAGATAAAAACTGATTAAATCTAATACACCCAAAATAATCAAATAAATCATCTATTCCTCTGATTGTTTCAGCTAACATAAAAGGAGTCACTGCCACTCAACACACACACACACACACACACACACACACACACACACACACACACACACACACACACAGGCACTCACAAAAGGGTTGAATCTTGAAGGCCAGCCATGTGGCCAGTATGAAAATGGACCCCACTAAGAATGCTGAGCTCCAAAGTCTCAGGTGAGCTTCCCTGGTTGGTCTGGAACACTGTGCCTAGTGCCACACAACAGTACCAGGAAAGTAAGACATGGGGACTTCACAGGGAGAGGACCACAGAAGCTCCGCCCTATGAGCTGCTTTACTTCACTGACTTTCATCCATATCTTTTCCCTGTAATAAACCATAACCAGGGGTAATAAGCTTTCAGTGAGTTCTGGGAAGTCCTAGAGAAGTATCGAACCTGAAGGTTGACTTTGGAAATTTTTTAGATTTGCAGAAGCTAAATTCCAGAGAAATTCATTTTATTTTAAATACATAAACTTCAACAATAAAACAGGACAAACAAAAAAATGAACACTTATTTAAGTTCTCTAAAAGTCAAGTTACTACTATTCCTAAAGAAAAGTACACACCAATCCTCTCTCCTTTTTCTTGAAAACATTAGCTTTTCCCCTAAATACATTTTGTGATTTGGGGACATTCTGAAGGAATGCTAGCTTAAAACACTGCCAGAAATATTTTTGTACAGAAGTCTGTGGAGAAACTGAAAGTGTTGACCAAATGCGTAACAAACTTTTAAAAATATTTTGTAAACTACTGTGTTCCAACAGGATACTCCAATGTGCCGGGCATTTTCACATATCTTATATTGTTTGATTCTTACAGCCATTCTTGTTAGATATTCTTATCCCCATTCCAGAATGAAGGAAAATGAGATCTCAGAGGTTTCAAGCAGCATGAAAACCAGGTGCATTGGAGGCAAAGATACTCCATTCCTACTCTCATTTGTTGTAAAGGAGAAGTTAATTCTCTGGGCCTCAGGTTCCCCCTGGAAAAATGATAAAATACCTGCTTCACTGGCCTGCTGCAAGGATTAGCTGGGTTACCACAATGAGCAAATACATATTAATTCTTTTCCTTTCCCTCTTTCCGCTCAGGTCAGCCTAAGGCTACATTGCTAGTAAATAGAAAGGTCAGTCTACAAAGCCAGATCTTTTTCTGCTAATCTCAGCTTTAGAATAATTTTTAAAATTACATTGCTGCTCTACGATTCTTGATTTCAGAGATACTTTACTTTTGGTAAAGTATATAAGAAAAAAGGGAATTATAAATAAGGAGAACCCTACAATAATGGCTAGAGATGTTTCTAAAATTAAACGTTTGAATAGTCAGAGAATCCCAAAGATTAAAAATTCATTACACACATGTATTAACAATTTAAAGTTTGGTACCCTGCCATACTTTCAAGGACTGAATTTAGTGTTAACACTAACAAAATAGGTATACATTTTAGGGTATAAAAGATTATTACTGAGAAATTTTTAAACTTCTTTTTCAAAGCACTACATTTCTCATTGTTTTAGATTATTTAGGGCAAACCTGGACACAAGATAATAAAGCTCACCTGCATCATGATTTTCAGACAGTCCAAAGGGGCAGTGCTTGTTAGAGAGACAGCACCAGGAATGCCTCCTGCCAAAAGCTGCCGCCACCACTGTCCGGATTTTTTTTCATCTTCCGTGAATTCACCTGGAATAGTTAAGCTATCCCCTGTGTCAATTCCCTGTTAAAATGGAAAAAAAAAATCCCCATGATTCTTAGTTAAAAATATATAATGCCAGAAGATGTTTTCGTTTTAGAGAAGAATCATATGTTATTTTGCATTTAATATGAACTTTTCTCCCTAGAATTTATACTAAACCAATTTGAACACATAGATTATAAGTAGTCTATTCACAATGAACGAAGTACAGTGTCAGTTCACAAGAAATGGAAATAAACAGTAATTACAAATATACAAAACCAACATTACAACTTTCTTTCTTCATGGATTCATAGTAACTTTGCTTCTCTTGGTCTAGGTCAGAATGAAAGGACAGTGTTTTGTCAGGTATAGTCAATCTTTTTTACTGTAACCACCTTTCATAAGGCTAGAAAACCATATCCTATTGGTGATGACATCTTTTAATAAATTTAGTTCATCAGTTCTCAAACAATACTTCCTTTATCTCAATTTTATATTTATATTATACTTTATACCATAATATGTTTTAAATATACAAATAAAAATTAAAACTGTGTACGTAAACAACCTTAAGCTCGTGACCTATTGTTTATAAAAATATTTGTATAAATCTGACTTGTCATTTAAAACATGCAATAGATTCTATGTAAAATTTAGCTAATGGAGAGGTATTGTTTGAAATCATCAGCCCTTCAATCTGTTATACAGTACTACAGCTTGAGAGAAATAACTCCATAATATTTTTACAACTCTATTATCTAAATTGTTTGGGCATAAAAAATTTTACAGTCAAAAGTGCAAGGGGAGGAGCTATCCTATGGTAGTAACCATCTCTTCCTTCATTTTACTATCAATAAAGTGGAGATACAACTGTAGCCTCAACTGTTATCAACTACCTCAGAAAATACAGTAAGAGTCATGTAAATAAAACTTCACATAGTGTAAAATTTATTGTGGCAACTGAAGTACTAGTATAGTATTATTCTATACTCATAGCTGAGACGGCACTAATCATCAACAATTTTCTAATGCTTTATGTAAGCTTAGGTATTGTTACTAGTGACACTTTGAACTGCTTCATTTAATGCATATTTAATTTAGCAAAATCCATGAATAAGTGTTGAAGAGAAGCCTATGAAGGGGAAAAAAAATAAACCTCCTTCAGAGAGTTCCCAATGGTTTCAGAAGTAGATTGCACAATAATAGAACTTGGTTTACATCGCTATGCAGAATATAAATGAAACAATCAAAATTTGAAAGTTTTATAGAAAACAAATTGTTATGAAATCCCATCTAAGCTAAGCAGAGGAAGCAAAAAGATGCTGTAACCTTTAATGATTATTTTAAATGCCGTATGCCAGAGATAAACCTAAGCAATCTGACCAAACAAGGAAACAGATTCTTAGCATCCATGAGGTGCTGAGATTATTTGGGTAATATAGTATCTATAAATAGCAAAAGCCTACAACTTTTACACTTCCTTATGGCAGTAACTTAAATGAAAATAAAAGCTAGAGAGCTTATTCATCAAGATGGTACTTCTCCCAAGTTTTCAGGATGAACACTTACGCAGTCTTGGGTTGTTGTTGTTGTTGTTGTTTTAATACTCTATAATCTATGCCTAACAGGATAAACAGAACCCTACAGGTTAAGGAGCTGCTGGGACTCAGGTATCCTGGCCCGTAAGTGTTACAGAGTGTTCTTGGGTTACAAGTGTACCTATGGTTTATAGCTCCAAATAAGCATAAATACATGAAGTATACTTACTGTGGAATGTTTCCAGAAACGGATAATTTCCTCAATGTCTGTAGTGGGATTAAATAAGAAGTAGTCTCTCCATTCATTCCAGTCCACTGTCATTGTCCCATCTGCATCAATGCTGAAAATGTTTGCGAATGATCAAAGGACGAAACTAAATTGATAAATAAAACTATCATTATTGGCCACTTCACAGAATGACAGTTTCTTTTCTAAATTAATATTCTTATTAAATTAAAAACCTCATTTGCAAGTGTAGGTTATTGGAAATGGCAGCAAGCATATGGCCCTGTCAGATAGTTTTAATTATTTAGATAAAAATGGACCCCAAAATTACAGCCAGCTCACTAAAGACTGCTTTCAGCAATCTGTCAAACTCTGTCAATGAGCTACAAAACTCAAAAACTGAAAGATAAAATATTGAAAGGTGGTAATGAATGGATTCATTACTCATTTTTTTCCTGCACTTAGTGGATCAAGAAGATAATTCTTAATGTTCTGTTGCAACATTTGAATGTAGTCTTGAAATATATTCTAAACATGCTATCAATTTCCTACAAGTTAGAAAAATTAACAGTGATTGTAAAAAATCTAACTCTCAGTGGCTGAGCCTTTGAGTTTTAAGAAATCCTTGTACCTCATTTTCAATCTTAAAATTAATATATTGTAGTCTTAAATATTTATCATTAATATTTGGTTTGTTTCACAAGTTTCTTGGTAATAACATCGTTCGTACCTGTTTTCTCCTAAGAGAAACTCTGAATGTGCCAGGATTTTGACTGTTTTATTCTCTTCTTTAGGCCACCTCTTCCAGTGACTGGGACAAAGAAGGTGCTCGTTTATTTTCTGAATTAACGGATATCTCTAAAAAAATGCTTTGGTGTACCCTACAAACTCTATTCTATAATTTGTGTCCCCCAGAATTTTATCAACCAGCTTAAAAATCTTATGTCTTCATAGTGAATTTTAAAATGTGGCGACACTCTATTTTTATTAATGATTTTACTGTATAATCCATTATTAATAGCTTATTATGATCTGTTATTTATTGTACTCTATTAATAGATTATTGATAATAATTAATATTAGCATAGTTGATATTAACATAGCTACCCTAGAGCTGATATTAACATAGCTACCCCAGATTTGTTTTTCAGTTAATAAGACTTTATTTTGCTTGTCCTTTCATCTGACAATCTCTGTCTTCTGACAAGTTTACATTAATTTTTATTACTTGAGGACTAAACTGAGAAAGTCTCAACCGATCAGAAGGTGACTATCTTCTAAATTACTCTCCACCCACCTCAAACCCCCAGGGAAACTGGATAAAAATGTTATTTAGCCCACTCCATTTGAGAATGGAGATGAAGGGAAATCATGTCCCAACATTACTGCAGGGTACATTTTAGTGGAGCTTTACTGTACTTGAGTTTATTGCTCACACATTACCCATTGCTTTCTAATTATCTCATTCTTTCTATGCTTTTCCCTCTCCTCTTCAATGGATTGTTTGAATCTTATGTTTATGTATTATTTTCTTATTCCATTTATTTCCTTCATGGTTTGGAGGTTATATACTCAACTACTATACTTTCAGTGGTTTACCTTGAAATTTTACCATATACATAACAAAATCTAAAGCTAATGTTTGCCCCACTATCTGAAATAAGAATTTTAGAACAGTTTAAAACAAATAATCATCTCCCCTCTTGACTTACATATAATCATTTACTAGTACTGCAGTTGTCCTTTTTCTTAGAACCCACAAATGGGTCATTATTATCATATCCATGGCTGTTTCCAACAGATTGCTGAAATAATCTATAGACCACTAGCTAAGAGGTGGCCCACTATAGTCTAGAGAGTGCCAAGGAACACTGTGTGACCCATTCCCCATACGTGCTGCTTCCAGTGCTATCTGTGCCTTTCCCTAACTACCTCCCACCCACCCTTTTCACTAGAATAATTCTATTCATTCTTTAACAGATTCTTCAATATGTTCTGAGAGTCCATTATTGCAATGTGGTGGACATAGAACTGTTAGCCAGATACATATGCTCTGCACCCTCAGTGGGAAGAACAGGCACTAAACAAAAGCAAGCAACAGCCGATATTCACTGAGCATTTGCCAGGCATTGTTCTAAGTATTTCACGTGTTAACTCATTTAATCCTTAAAACAAGCCCATGTATTTACTATACTCTCCATTTTACAGGCAAAGAGAGTCTAAGCATTTTGTTATAGGTCACAAGGCTAGTAAGTAGAGTAGAATTAAGTGTTTCAACCCAGGCATTCTAACTCTAAACTGTACCCCTAACCACTGAGCTATACAAATGAGCCAATGATTACAAACCATAAGAGCCATGCAGCAGAGAAACAAGTTGCATAGAAAAAGAATAACTGGAGTGAAGTGTGCCAAGTTTCTCATTAATTGTGGAGAAAGAAACTTAGAGATAAGAAAATGAGAGGAAACAGGGGAAATGAGATGGAGATGAAAGTCTAAAAGAAAAATGGATTTTTACTTGAGAGCAGAAGATAATTATGATATATGTGAAACACATGTTTCACAGGGAATGCCTGCTTCAGCAACTTCCTATCTATAGCTTCTACTGAACAGGTGTAAGTAGGAGGCTTTATTTCAAGCCAGTGACTCCTCTCTTATGCCCTGATGATCCCGTCACAGCTGTTTCAATCAGCAGTGTGTTACCGTTTCATGTTGTTTTAAACAAACACCCAAGACTGGGTAATTTATGAGGCTTATTTGGCTCACAGTTCTGCAGCATGGCGCCAACATCTGCTTAGCTTCTGGTGAGACCTCAGGAAGCTTTTACTCATGGCTAAAGGCAAAGGGGGAGCAAGTGTATCAGATGGTGAGAGAAGGACAAGTAAAATGAGGTGCCAGGCTCTTATAAACAACCGGCTCTCATCAACTAATAGAGTTCACTTATCACCAAGCCATTAATGAAGGATCCACTCTTGTGACCCAAACAACCCCAATTAGTCCCTAATTCCAACATCAGAGGTCACATTTCAACATGAGATTTGGAGGGGACAAATATCCAAACCATATCAAGCACCATTCAGATTTTTTTCCCATGAATTCAGATTTGGGACACAAAGAGATAGTAAAATGGAGGAAAACAAGCTGACATTTGGAGTGACATGAGTAGCACGAATGGCTAAACACTTGAGGGAAGGTCCATGATGGTTATGTACCTATAGGAAACTGGTTACATTCTGCCTTTAAAAACTGTTTCTAATATTTTTACTGAAGAAGTATAAACACTAGTAATAATAATAATAATAGCCCAAAAGTACAAAAAAACCTAAGTCATCCATCAAATAAATATAAACACAAATAGCATATTATAACAGCAATGAGATAGGACTTCATGCCAATTATCTATTAGTCAGAGTTCCTAGAGAAGCAGAACCAATGGATGATTAAAATCAAAAGAAATCAAAGGACCAGCTGGATACGGTGGCTCATGCCTGTAATCCCAGCTCTTTGGTAGGCCAAGGTGGGTGTATTACTTGAGCCCAGGATTTTGACACCATCCTAGATGATATGGTTTGACTATGTCCCCACCCAAATCTCATCTTGAATTGTAGTTCCCATAATTTCTATGTGTCATGGGAGAGACTCACAAGAAAGTGAGCGAGTTCTCGCAAGAGCTGATAAATAAGTGCCTACTTCTTCAAATGTAATCTCTAGACATTCTTTACGAAGGGCATTCTCAGAAAAAGCCAGTCTGCAAAGACTGAAATAAGTACCTACTTCTGCAAATGCACTAACATAAAGACATGGCCACAAGCATCAATAACAATCAGTAACACATGACATCACTAACAATCATCCCTAAAGAAACAGAGATGAACTGACAAAGAATTCAAAATAATTGTTTTAAGAAAGCTCAGCAAACTTCAAGAAAATACAAAGAAACAATTCAATGAAATTAGAAAAATAACCAGTGACCACAAAGAAAAAGGTAGTAAAAAGACTGAAATAATAAAAGAAAAATAATCAAACAGAAATCATGGGGCTGAAAAATACAATGAACAAAATAAAAATACAATGTGGGAGCATCAACTATAGGAGTGATTAAGAAAAAGAAAGAAACTGCAAACTCAAATACAGGTTATCTGAAAATACACAGAGGAGAATAAAGACTGAAAATGAATGAAGAAAGCTCACAAGATTCATGGAACAGCATCAAAAGAGCAAAGTTTTGAGTCACAGGAGTTAAAGAATAAGAAAGATAAAGGGGGTAAAAAGCCTACTTAAAGAAAAAGTAACAGAAAATTTTCCAAACCTGGAGAAAGATGTAAATATCCACATACAAGAAAGTCAAAGGCCTCTAATACGATTCAATCCAAACAAGACTACCCCAAGACATATTACAATCAAACTCAAAGACAATGAGGGGATCCTGAAAACAGCAAGAAAAAGAAGCAAATAACATCTAAGAGAGTCCCAATATGGTTAGCAGCAGACAAGTCAGGAGACAAAGGGGTGATATATTCAAAGTGTTAAAGGAGAAAACTACCAAGCAAGAGTAATGTACCCAGCAAAGTGTCCTTCAGAAATGAAGGAGAGATACTTCCTCAGACAAACAATAGCTGAGGGAGATAATCATGACCACACCTAACTTATAGGAAATGTAAAGGGAGCTCCTCAAGCCGAAAGAAAAAGATGCTAATGGGTAACACAAAAACATCTGAAAGTATAACACTGACTGATAAAAGAAAGTACACAGGTAAATTCAAAATACTCTAATACTGTGATTATGGCAGGCAAATCTCATATCTTTAGTGGGAAAGATAAAAGACAAAACTATTAAAATTAATAATAGCTACAATAATTTGTTAAGAGATATACAATATAAAATGTGTAAACTGTGGCATCAAAGATTCAAAATGTCAGGGGATTAAGTAAAAGTGTAGACTTTTTTGTTTGGGGGTGGTTAGCAACCAAAATTAAGTTATCAAGTTTAAATAAAATATTTTAACTCTTAAGAAATTTTTTGGTAGCCTCTTGGTAACCATAAACCAAAAACCAATAGTAGGTACACAGAAAATAAAAAGCAAGAAATAAAAACATACCACTAGAGAAAATCACTTAACCACACACACACACATACA